TCCGGAACCGGAAAGATCAAATATTTGTCCTGTTAAAATATTCACCAGCAGCCTATAAAGCCAAACATCGGATTTTTATTTCCTGAAAGTTGGCTTCAGGTTGCATAAAAAAATCAACCGAATCCTTTGTCTATAAATTTTTTTCTGTTTTATATACACAAAGCTATGCAAGCTCATCTCGGAGCTTTTTGTCCGGGTTGTTTAAACATTTATGAATCCTTTTGGGCGGTTAAATGAAGTTTCCTTCTATTCATACATACTTTTTTTCTTTTGCGTTTTAGTAGCGGTCTTAGGCCTAGCTCTCTGTGGAGTTATTTAAGTAGGTAACTGTAAACACTGACCGGCGTATGTAATTTTTTTGGAAGATTCCAGCTGGTTTTTTTTGTTTGAATAGTAGTTTTAATCTTACTGCTATAAATTTTAAGAATCCAAGCAACTCAATTATGGTTTTCCGTCTGCACTGTAACAAGCTACCTGGAGCACGTAGGCCCTTAACCACTATAATCATAAGCCCGAGTTCTTCGAAAACCCCTTAACCGTCCGGAAAACCAAAATAGCGCTACAAATTTGGCGCCCGAGTAGGGACCGTTTTGATCGTTTTGCACATGCCAATTATGTCAGCATATGACTGGGGTGATTACGTCATCAGTCCCCGTTTCCACTGAGAGGCCGCTTGTTTTGGCGACGACCTTAGGTCTGTCCGCTATCATGCCAGACCATATAGCGCCAGAATGAATAAACCGCTCCTATTGGACCGATCGGCGCATGTCTTATCAAATGCTCAGGGCCTTGACCTGTACCAAAGTTTCAGTATTTTTCATAAAATAAGTGTGCCTCCCGCTTCGACTTAATTTAATTATTAATTGCGTACTTAATTTTCTATATTCACGGCGGTATTAATTAAAAGCCTCTTTATATTATTCTTAAATATTAAATATATTATCATGATTTCGCGTGACCTTGCCTGGAATCTACCGATCCCAGCAGAGTTTCTTGCAGGTTAAGATTTTCGCCCGGTACCTTGGACGGGTAAATCTTTTCCTGCAATAGGGGTTTCGCACGGTACCCTGGACGGGTAGTCTCTATCGCTCTTAGAACTTCGCCCGGTACCCTGGACGGGAAGTTCTGTATGAGAGATTTTCGCCTGAAACCTAGGACAGGTAGTTTTCTCCGAAGCTTATATGGTATCTCTAATCCGTTAAATGCACGATTCGAGAACTGACGCTTAGGTAGTTTCAGGTGGTGTCCGTACATTTGCTTGGGTCACCGGAGTTTGTTTTACCGCTTTATTGCTATTTAACATTTGCCGTTAGCGTTAACGTTACCGGACCTTTAGAGCTACCAGAAGGCCGTTATCGCTACCGTTAACTTTTCTGGACACGCTTTTCACAGCCCGCATGGTCACGCTTTTACCGCACGCACATAATTTTTCACTCATTTAATTATCTCTCTCACGCATCCCCGTTCATTCTTTCACAGGGTTAATTAAGGGTTTTTCCTGTAAATATTGTCCGGTAATACAGAGTATTATATTTATTTAAATTTATCGACTGTTGTCTATTTCTTTTCCCGAAATCAAGGTGTTCAGAAAATTTTACAGAGCAAGCGTCTGTGACCCCTAGATTACCGTTTCTCCACTGTAACAAGCTACCTGGTGCACGTGGGCCCTCAACCACTTTAATCTTGAGGGTGGAGCCCGAGGCAAACCGTTAGGTATACCGACTTACACTGAACCTGCGTCGATCACGCAACAAAAGCGCCTTACAAAATTGGCGCCCGAGCAGGGAGGGTAAATACTTTCGCTTGCCGTAGAAGTTCAACCGTACTAAAACCGCTCACCATACCATGCCAGAAGGCACCGGCAACAATGGAAATCCACCGGTTACCAGCACACCGAATACCATTGCATTCACCGGGGTTACAACCAGTTCAGTTAATCCGCCCGGGAATGTACCAATAACCACTTACCCCATTTGGTACGATTCCAACGATAACCGCGTGAGTTGGGTTTATCTATTGAAGAAAGACGAACTGATTCCTGAACTAACAAAGTTTGGACTGAACATGACAGGTACCGTTGAAACATTGAAAAAGCGACTAGTTACATTCTATCGCCAGAGAAAAGCTTCACCGGCACCGACCACTATGGCAGCATTCAACTTTCCGACCGGTTCCGCATACGACGCGATGCAGGCAAATAGTACCGCTGCCCTGATTCAGACCAATACTGCTTATACTGAGACCCCTGGTACAACTCAGGTGGTTCACCCGCCGATACCGACTATCACCATTCACCAACCGCTCGCATACGGATCTCCGGGAATGGCACTGAAAGTACATAAATGGAATATCCATTTTATTGGACGAACCGATTCGGTTATATTCATGGAGAGATTACAGGAAATTTATGCGTCCCAGGGGATAGTAATAGACCGTTTACTACCGCATATTCCTGAACTTTTACAGGGTGACATATCCCTATGGAAATAATCGAGCTCACTGGAATATGTGTTCGAGATTTCCAAAGCTAATCAGATACCGATACAGCTCGGGAACATTACACTGACCGAAACCATGAGTTACTTTCCGAATTTGACGTCTGACATTCTACTTGGAATAGATGTCTTAAGCCCGTATTACATCTGTGTATTTATCCGTGTATTTCTTCATGTAGTTCAGGGTGCCAACATTATTTTGTTTTTCATAATGCTGATTTATGTTGCGTTTGAAGTTTTTCGGTTGTCACCCTGAACTACATGAATAAATTCACAGAAAAATACACAGATGTCATACGGGCTTTAAGCAGGCAACAATTTCATCTAGACTTGGGAAGTGGCGATGTTTTTCTGAAAAATCCTTTTTCACCGTTTCCTACTTTGTGTAGTTCTATTGGTCCGTTAAATGTCCCGCCGAACCTGGAGTTAACGTCCACCGAAGAGGTACTATTGCAGAAATTACTGGACCACGAATTACCGAAGTTTGACCAAATCGAAGGCACTACCCCATTACTGGAACATTCTATCAATTTGCTCAATCCCGACCCAATTAAACAGAGGTACCGTCATCAGAGTCCCAGAATGCAAGAAATAATCAACACCGAAGTACGGAAGATGTGGGATGATGGGATCATTCAACCATCCGACAGCTCACCCATAGTCATTGCGAAAAAGAAGGATGGGAAACACCGTTTCTGCATTGACTTCCAGAAAGTAAATGCCGTTAGCTGAAAGGATGCTTACCCTCTTCCGTGTATTAATTCCATACTGGACAAACTAAGAAGGGCCCGATATATTTCCAGTACCGACCTTAAGCAAGGATACTGGCAGATTCCGCTTGCCAGGAAAAGTAAGCCGGTTACCGCTTCCACCGTACCAGGAATGGGTGTATACCAGTTTCGAGTAATGCCTTTTGGGTTACATTCCGCGCCCGCTACATTCCAGAAGCTAATGCATCGCATTATAGGCCCAGAACTAAATAGATATGACTTCCAAAAGGTAAATGCCGTTAGCCGAAAGGATATTTACCCTCTTCCGTTTATTAATTCCATACTGGACAAACTAAGAAGGGGCCGATATATTTCTAGTATCGACCTTAAGCAAGGATACTTGCAAGATTCCGCTTGCAAGGAAAAATAAGCCGGTTACCGCTTTTACCGTACCAGGAATGGGTCTATATCAGTTTCGAGTAATGCCTTTTGGGTTACATTCTGCGCCCGCTACATTCCAGAGGCTAATGCATCGCATTATAGGCCCAGAACTAAATAGATATGATTTCCAAAAGATAAATGCCGTTAGCCGAAAGGATATTTACCCTCTTCCGTTTATTAATTCCATACTGGACAAACTAAGAAGGGGCCGATATATTTCTAGTATCGACCTTAAGCAAGGATACTTGCAAGATTCCGCTTGCAAGGAAAAATAAGCCGGTTACCGCTTTTACCGTACCAGGAATGGGTCTATATCAGTTTCGAGTAATGCCTTTTGGGTTACATTCTGCGCCCGCTACATTCCAGAGGCTAATGCATCGCATTATAGGCCCAGAACTAAATAGATATGATTTCCAAAAGATAAATGCCGTTAGCCGAAAGGATATTTACCCTCTTCCGTTTATTAATTCCATACTGGACAAACTAAGAAGGGGCCGATATATTTCTAGCATCGACCTTAAGCAAGGATACTTGCAGATTCCGCTTGCAAGGAAAAGTAAGCCGGTTACCGCTTTTACCGTACCAGGAATGAGTCTATATCAGTTTCGAGTAATGCCTTTTGGGTTACATTCTGCGCCCGCTACATTCCAGAGGCTAATGAATCGCATTATAGGTCTGGAACTAGATAGATATTGCTTTGCATACCCGGATTACATTATAATCCTTGGCGAGACTTTTGAGGAACACCTGAATAATTTGACCGAAGTTTTCCGACGTCTTAGAGCGGCCAATTTACAACTAAATCCGGATAAATATAAAGTGCTTTACAGTTCTGCATACCACATACCTATTAGTAGTTGTAAATGTGTAGATACTAATCCTTGATTCCCAAAGACTTATAGATGAACTTCTGGTGTGGTATTTATATGTAAATTTAAGTATTTTAATCTGTAATCTTCAATCATTTGTCCTACATAGTTTGTGGTTGATTTAGCTTTCCAAAAAAGAGACTAATGAAGCATTTTTGAGTATCAAAGGGAGAAATTACATTTCCTATCCAGACATAATTATGCATAAAATAGTTAAATTTTAATAAGTTTTAACATACAATGGATTTTATAGCTGACCAGCCTTAAATCCATAAACCATCAATTATCCTCATATCAGATTTTCAATTAATTTTCCATAGTTTCCCTCATCATAGGCAAGTTCTCATCATAGAAGCTTTCGGTTTGAAATTTTAACACCAATCAGTGCCGAAGGATAATAATTGGCGCAAGCGTCATCAACGGCCAGCGCTTCTGGATTCAAAACTGGGACCAGGGGAATGACGCTTCGCTCACTTGTTGTCGATCCGCGCTCAAAGTTTCGAATTTTCCATACCCTCTGGACCGCGGAGAGCGTTCCACAAGTTTTTCCTTTTACTTTTCCGCCAAATAATTGTCCAAACTTGAATTTTACCGGAATTTTTTTTAAATAAATAAACAGTGTATTTGGTTATTATTTTGCCAAAACTTTGATTTTTTTAATTTTTAAAATGGTTTTGATTTTTTGTGGTTTTTGGGTTTATTTTTGAAAGAAATTATAGATTTTTGTTCGACAAAAAATGGCAGAACAAAGTGGCAGGATGGTAAGTATATTTGAGATAAAATTAACCCAAATTAGTTAAAATGTCTGCAAGATTTATTCATAAATGACAAAAAAAATGTGAATCTTAAAAACCCCAGTAAAACCGGTTACATCGAATCATGTTGTTGACCGCTTACCATGATAAGTCTTTTTTTTATCATTTCTCTTCTATAAACGTCAATAATTTTTCCATTATAAAATCACTAAAGCGTTTCCCAGTTGAAATCCTTTATATGTTCACCAAAAAGGAAACTTCCTGGAAAAGGAATTATTTTCGAAATCTTTCTGCTCTAAAACATCAAAGACATTTCTTTCACCTCATATATTGCTTATTTCGAAAAATCCCTTTCCGAAATACAACCTTTGGGAAAGAATTAATGCAGCGTAATGCCGCTTCTTCGATAAGTTTCTCGTTTGAAGTTGAAGTTCTTTAGGTTTTTTTTTCAAACCGTTTGGCAAGACAATGAGATCAGTTGGCTGCGATTTATTACAATGAAATTTCGCAAGTTTCCCAAATTATAAAATAAAACAAATATATCATTTTCATTGACCATTATATTGGAAATAAAACCACCAAATTTATACACCATTTTACATAGCAAAGTTTAAATGAAAATCCGTCCAGGAAACAAGATAAGCTTAATGCATTCCAGCCCTGGATACCTCGTATTGATTAAATATACAATTAAAATTTATTTACCTATGGCTCCATTCTATATTAATGAGGATTAAGTTTCTGAAATACCATTATATTATAGGTTCCAAGTTTAGTACAACGATTAAGTATGATTGACATGAAATTCAATAAAACAAAACTCCATTATTTTATGGAAGGTATTTTTAGAAACGATTCATTCTTTATTATTTCTTCGTATGTATGTTATATACGACACAAGCTCGGAATTTTATATCAGGTAAGAAAACATCTGCGTCTTTCGAGATGATAATTCGAATTTCTCGAAAATAAAATTCACATCAGTATTTGTAAAGCGAATTTTTAGAGACTCCCCTCGGAGAAGCTAACAAAGCATACACGAGATACCTACCTACTTTGGAATAAAACAACACGCAGACTAGACAAGTCAAAAATGATAAGATTAGGGAAACATTTTGTTTCGAATTTATAACTTTTGTGCTTTGGGTAGAAAAATATAAAGTGCTTAGATATCAATCACTTTGATAGATCAAAGTGAATGATTGCAGTTAATTACTAAATATTCAATGGTCAAACTACTAAACATACACATCTACAAATAATGTTTGTAATTTTATCATTAATTTTGCCTTGATTATTTTTTTAATCCTCTGTTCCGAGATGATATACTGTGTTGCAATTGACATAGCGTTGATGACGTTGATGAATTACTAATTATAATTTCACGAAAAAAAAAGTATAAGCGTATAAGAGTAGGATCATATTATGATAAATTGGCAGGGTAAGGCGCGGAAAGAAAATTAAATTATTCGATAAATAACATAACTGATGTGAGATTATTCCAGGTCCTAATTGACTTAATTTCATTTGATGGAAGACTTTAAATTTTTCTTGGAGCACATTTAAAAGATTAAATAAGCCCTAATTTCGCAACAGGAAACGTCTAGCTGAAAAATAGCGTAAATTTAAGCTGCGAGCAAGGACAAGAATTTTTAAATTACCTTTTCAGTAGATGTAGGCATAATTTAATTATTTTGATGATCCCGGAATAAGGAAAAAGAGCTTATTTTAAGATAAGAATGCTAATGAATTAAACGGAAACGAAAATAGTAAATCAAGATTTTCAAGAAAACTAAATGAAACACTTAACAAACCCCTATTTATATCTCTATAAACCTCTATTTTATACCACCTACCGCCACATTATTCATTCCATGAATAGTACGTTTTTTTCCTATTCATTGAAATCTGAACTTTAAGAAATTCATGAATAGTGCCGTTTTTTCCTATTCATTGAAATCTGAACTTTAAGACTTTCATGTATAGTGCGGTTTTTTCCTATTTATTGAACTCTAAACTTTAAAACTTTCATGAATAGTGCAGTTTTTTCCTATTCATTGAAATCTGAACTATAAGAATTTCATGAATAGTGCCGTTTTTTCCTATTTATTGAACTCTGAACTTTGAGACTTTCATGAATAGTGCAGTTTTTCCTATTTATTGAAATCTGAACTGATAGGGTCACTCTTCTGGATAAGTGCTGTCAAACTGTTTCCCGATTAAGTGAACTCAGCTCAGCTGCGGAATTTTCTCTCTATGGTCATGCCTCACAAACTAGTCCTCCCAGTGACTCAAAAAATAAACAAAATTTAAACGCTTGTCTCAATATAAATAAAACTCGAGAACTTCCTCAACTAATTGTGGATTGAAATAAGTCTAGTGTGATTGGCTGCTCTTCATTTATCAGGAAGCAGTCTATACCATCCGATTTGATATCAACTGTCAGTTTAGGAGGCGGTTTATTCTTGAGAATATTTTTGACAAGTATTTTGATCTAAGTCGTCGTTTCACCAGACGCGATAATGTCATCCTCTTCTGCGGTAATGCTGACGCTTTCATGGGTAAAACTATCAGCGACAACTTAGTTGCCCATATACCTACTTGATAGATTTTCTCACACTAACCTAATCATCGTTGGACCTCCCTATGCTGCCTCCAGGCCCATTCTCAACAACTTATTTACATACAAATCTGACATGGTCTTCAAGAAGGTCCTGCATAACAAGAAGGGCTCTCCTGCAAGGTTTCTCAGCTTTAATGAATTTTCCGATGACAGCGAGCTGAACTACTATGGCAGCCCTTCCCACATTGCCAAGAAGAAGCTCATAGAACACATAATCTTCAAAATATTTGTGGTTCCAATCAATTCAGATGACTCCTTGGTGGTCCCTAATGATGAATGTATTGGGAGTGGTGGTAGTAATAGTCCAAATTTTTGAATTACGTCGACTGCAGAAAATTAGCTGTCTATTATCAGAATGTAAGAGGTTAAGAACGAAATCAAGTGAGCTCTTGGCGAGCACTCACACAGTATGATATCGTATTTTTGTCGGAAACCTGGCTCAATGATGGCATTATGAACTCTGAAATATTTGATCCGAGTTTCAGTGTCTTTCGGAGGGAAGGTAATTATATGGTGAACTAAATTGTCAGTCTGGCGTCTCCCAGGGTTCGAATATCGGTTCTGGTTTTTCATTATTTATAAATGATGTTCTATTATGTTTTAAAACATCCCAATGTCTCTTATACGCCGACGATTTCAAACTTTTTAGCTCGGTTGGTCCTGGTTTCGATGGCTTCCAGTCTGATCTTGACAGACTTGTTGTGTGTGTGGTGTAAATCTATCTGTTTCCACAAACGTCGGAACCCATTGAATAAAACATACGATTAATGATTCAATAATTGGAAATTTATCATCTATTAACGATTTAGGAATAATTTTCGACCCTGACCTAACGTTTAATTTGCATATTGATAGCATTGTTCTGAAAGGATTTAGGATGCTGGGCTTCAATAAGAGAAATTCAAAGCACAAGAGATACAAAAGCAATCACTTGTTTGTATAATTATTGTCTAGTTCGAAGTTTGTTAGAGTACTGGCCTGTGATCTGGTCACCTTGTTACGCTTGTCATGTACAAAGACTGAAAAGAGTTCAAATAAAATTTCTTAAATACCTGTTGTATAAACTTCACTTTCCTTAATGTAGCTTTCCTTATGACACTAGACTTTTGCTTTGTGGTGTCAAAAGCCTTGAGTGTCGTCGAAGAAATGCTGATTTGTTGTTTCTCTACAAACTTCTCAATGGAGTAATTGCCTGCACTCATCTTCTTAACTTGATCACATTTTTAATTCCAATAAGACGTACAAGCGTTATCACAGAACTATGGTCTTAATGCTTCTGTAGATAGTCTAGTTTATAATTATAATAGGTATTTCCACGATTGTGATCTTTTCTTTGTAAGTTTAGTATCTGTTACGAGCATGTTGAGAGATTTGTAATCCTCTGTTGGTTGTGAATCTTTGTTTTTGTTTTTTATCTTTTTACCATTTAGAATATTTTATTTTGTAGTGTATTGAATTTGTGAATTAAAAAAAATAACATATTATGTTTATATAAAAATTTCCTATTTATTGAACATTGATCTTTGAAGACTTCCCCAAGAATTTTCATAAATAGTGCGAGGTTTCCTATTTATTGAATTCCGACTTTAAAGACTTTCGTACCAATAGTGCAGATTTATAGTTTTATTTACCTGTTTACTAGACTATTGCGAACTTTAACTTTTAACTTTTACTTCAATCTAATTTTGCCTACTTCAAGTTTTTCCATAGCAACTTGCTATTATCTAACTAAAACTTAAATATGCCTCTTAAGAAAACAATAACTGGTGATTCGGCTGCCAGACTCAGAAGTTTGCTTGGAAATACGTTCAAACTCTGTCACTTTAAGTAATGAACAATTTCAGAAATTAATCAACACTGTGCTCAGCTCACCTCAATCCAATTTATTAACTACTCAGTCAGAGCCAGTGTTATTAATTACCTGGTTGGGCTGCTATTTGGTATCAAGGCATAAAACATACAATAACATGTTGGGATAAAGCCGTTCAGCTGCTTAGGGATGTTTTTGGCAGAAAGGAGCTAGCCTATAAGTTATTTAAACAGGCACAAAATCTACTTAAGGCGAAACTATTTATTTGCAATGCCAGAGCTATTTTGTCCAAGTTGCCTTATACACTAGATTAATTAGTCTGCCTAGACATGGTATACGATTTACTAGACAGGCACATAAGAGATAAAATTCCTAGAGATGACACAAAAACGTCCATCGACCTACTGATGCGAAGCCGATCCATTGAAATTATGTTTGAAGAAATCCAAACCACAAATATGGATTCGAGGCAAAATATACATAAGTCAAATAATGACAATAAAAATCGTGTAGGGCCAAAATGTGCTTATTGTCAACGTTTAGGACACCAGGTTGAAGAATGCAGAACCAAAC